ATGGCATTGGCCTTCTTAAAAATACTGGGAGGGACATCCAGTCATTTATAAAACGGAAGTAGGACACCCTCTTTCCGCATTCCGTTTTAGGTTTAGGCAATCTAGGTAAGTAGCCATTTCTAGTGTTGTAGCCATGTGAACTTCTCAATGTCGATTTAAAACTTTCAAAATGTTGCGGAATGTCTCCTTTGATTGCATTCTCTACGGTGGTACAACGATGAAATAGACGTCTTCCAGCCAGAGGGAGCCAATTCAGTCACTTCAGAGCTTCTGAAGAAGACATCTTGCCTAATTTAATTTTCTTCACAAATATATTAACTTATTTTTGCCTTTGAAAAAAAAGGCTTTCACATCTGTTTTCCTGTGTTATCTTTGATATGCAGTAGGTAAGATATTTCGCCGCGCAAATTCATGCCTGGAATAGGGAGAAGGGGTTCTAGTTTATGGTAATTACTATACGAAATAAACTTCACTCTAGACTGCGGACAATGGATGATGAAATGTAGTTCTCACATGCCAACTCCAATTCGAGAATTTTTAGGGCATTAAGTAACTTAGGGAGCGAGGCAGTTTGTCCCGTTTCCAAGTGAACTCGCAACTCATTTGATGATGGCGGCCAACTGCTGCTTGATAGAGACAGGGAGAAGCCTAATCGAAGCCTGAATTTTTTTGGCCTTACTATCTTTATTTTCTTTACCGATAGTACACTTCTGGGTAAAAATTCGCTCGTGACACTTACCAACAACCTGTTTTCCCCTTACTGCCCTTCAGTTTCAGCCGTTTTCACTGTTTTGTAATCGATTCCAGAAAGCTATTTGGAAGCATTGGTCAAAAGATCAGGCTCTAAGGAACATAATGCTATCCTGGCTTTTTATCCATTTGTACCGTAAGAAAATTCCAGTTCTGTGATAGATTAATACTCCACCCTCTACTATTTTGTGCTTACTTGAAATAGCCTCAAAAGAATCATTGTCAAGGATTTGTCACTATGTCTTCAACCAGGAAATCGATATTCATCTCTTCTACAAATTTTCAGGAAAATCTCTTCGCCAGGTTCAGCGCCACCTCAAATGCTGAAAAAACTAAATGTGTGAGCCAGTCAGTGAAATGAATTTGCTCATTTTTCCCTTTAGATTTTCGAAGACGATATATGTAAGTAAGCTTACGTTTCTGTTAGTCGAGATCTCTGTCCATTAAAAACGCTCGAACGATAACAGATTCCAGTACAACAGTATTCTATGGAGCTAGTTATTGTTTCTGTGAAACTATAGCGCCATTTTTTTTCTTGTGATTGTTTTACTTCCAAATTTAAACATAGAGCGGTTTTGAACTGAGTATCCTTATGGCAAAATCTTTTCTCAAGGAAATGCCTTCCAGCGGTTAATTTTGACCATCGAACACGAAACGCGAAGTGCGGGAAAAAGACTGGGAGGTGGTTGAATCTGATTGGTGGATTAAGTACCTTGCGTCAAGATTGTTTAAGCTAATAATCAGATAAAGTTAATCAGCCGAAGTGTTTCCTGTCACTTCATGCACAACTGTTGTGAGTTTGAAATAAAATCGCTCAGTAATTTGCATTTAAAAGAAGAAATATGTTCCCGCTGGAAACTGAAATATTCATTTGAATAAATCACAGCAAATTAACATCTGAATATTCATCCTCTATCGACAACTAACGAGCATGGTGGACGAGTTCACAACTTTCGAGCGGTTTTTTAGTGGTTTTTCTTCGGCGACGACAGCTCCTTAGTCAGGCTTGTGGACCTAATATTAAGTTCAAGATTTGCACAAGAGAAAGTGGACTTAGGGTTTAAAAAAAGTCAGTCTTGGAACGGTGAACGCGAACACGTGGACCTGGGAAAGTCAAAGCTTTGTTCATTGGGAAATACAGCAGAGGCTCGAAAGGTAACTAATATGAATGTAGAAACGAAACATTTTTCGATAAATGGTCAGTACATTTTACAATTGACTGATATTCTTCGTTGGTGGAAGTTACTTTTGGTTTGATAAGGGGACATAACAATTCGAATTCATTGATGATTTTGGGAGGGGGGGATCGCAAAATGTTTGGAGACCATTCCCTTTGGCTTTTATGAATAGGGAGGCTGAGGTCACTCTAAATTTAAGTCAATTAAGTTAAAACGCTAGAAGCAGAAAGTTGCAGTAGTTGTATAATAACTTCATCATAGATTGATTGT